GCCCCTTGCACTGTTTCCTTCAGGGCTTAGCACGATGTCTGTCAGTTTCTCCACTCATCATGGAGCTGGGAATTTCTGCTATCAGGCCTGCAATAAGCTGGGCACAGCCTGTTTCTTCCCCTCTGCGCTGACCGCAATCTGACTGTCTGGCAGTCTCTCGCCTGTTAATTCGGCTCTGGCAGGGAGCAGAGCAGCGCTCCTGCGATGGCCAAGGTGCTAAGCCTTGGAAAGCGAGTGCATCATGTCAACCGTTGCCGTATCTGACCTGTATCTGGTTTTAATATAAGAAAGAAGGTGACTGCTGTGCTCAGAAATGTGGGAAGTGCTTGCAGCAGTGAGTGAAACCATGCCAAAACAATAGCTGGGAGTGGCCTTCTTCCAGCAGCTCTGGTGGTCACAGCATGGATCTGCTGGGCTTGCACACAGCTCCTGAGCCACCATACTGCAGCCTGGAGCCTCTACATGAGGAGGTGTCACTGCTGTCCCCATAGCAGTGTGCCAGGCACCAGGGCAGCCTTGCCATGAACAGCTTAAGGGCAGAAGACACCTGAAGATGCAGAAAGCCACCTATGAAAATCCCACTTAATGCTCCATTTCCACTGGCTTTAAGGTCAGCAGCAGCCATGACACCTCTTATTTTACCCACACTTGATTCTGTGAGAGGACAGTGTAAAGATCCATCCTTTCTCTCCCATGTCTGTCTTTCAAACAGCAACTGCCCGTAGGGGTGGCCAGAACACTTGCAACATGATGATTTGGGTATTTGGGCATCTTTTCATTTTCTGATGGAGTTGCAGTGTGCCCTAGCCCAGCTTTTTTCTCACAGATCACTTTGACTTGAAAAGTTGTGTTTCTGGCAAGATGTAATTGCACCCTAAACTTGACAAGACTTTTCATTTTGTTTTTGTGTGCAGTTTTACTGCAGGAAGGTTTCCAGGTTGCTTGGAAGTCATCAGCAGCCAGTAGGATTACTGAAAGGCAATGGCCCCCTGGACCTGCTGCTCTGATCTGAGCAGTTTTGAGTTTGTGCAGGGTTGCAGGCTTGGTTGGCCACTAAGTGTGGCTCTTGATTCATGAAGTAGGGGAGGAAATAGGGAGTGACAGGCTCAACTCAAGGCACAGGTCAGAGGCTGTTGGTGGCTTCTCCAGCAAGTCTTGCTGAGGCAGAGAAGGTCTTCTTTAATACTGTTAATGATCCAAGAGATGGAACACCTTCCTTGCAAGGACAGACTGAGAGAGCTGGGGCTGTTCAGCCTGGAGAAGAGAAGGCTCCAGGGAGACCTGAGAGCAGTATCTAAAGGGAGGCTGTAAGAAAGAGAGGGACAGACTTTTCAGCAAGGTCTGTTGTGACAGGACAAGGGGAAATTGTTTCAAACTAAAAGAGGGGAGATTTAGATTGGACATAAGAAAAAGTTTTTTGTTTTTTTTTTTCTATAAGGGTGGTGAGGCAGTGGCACAGGTTTGCCTAGAGAGATGGTGGAAGCCCCCTCCCTGGAAACATTCAGAGCTCAGGCTGGTGTGGCTCTGAGCACCCTATAGGTGTCCCCGTTCATTGCAGGGGAGTTGAACTACATGGTCTGTATGGGTCCCTTCCAACTCAAACAATTCTATGATTCTAGATCTCATCACCAGTAACAAGAAATTCTGTTGTTTGTAACTTCCAATGTCAGCATCAAGCATGAGAGGAAAAGGTTTGTATGGGGCAGAGGTAAAATCAGGTCAGGGAAGGAGATGCCTGGGCCATTCTTACTTGTTCAGGAACTTCATAGGCTACATTAGTATATAATTTCAAAAGCAAATAGTGAAAGCAGATCTGCTGACAATTAAGATCAAGTGCCATTAATTATTTTCTGAAGCAAAAACATGAGATGAATAAACTAGGCTTGTTCCAAAGCACACCTAGTCCAGGAAAGTCTTTCCACCAGCCTCAGTGAACATTGGAATGTGTTCCCATGCAAGAAAGGATAAGCCAATCCCAGCTGCCAATCTTTATTTCTGCTCAGGAGGTGTTGAGGGCATTTTGCTGATAACAAGATCGTGTCTTGCATGTTTCACACCACACCTGTGAGCTGCACTGGGTGGCTGATGAGGTTTTGCAGCCATCCACACACTCCCAATGTCACTGCCAACCTCGTGGGAGCTGCTGGGAGAGGCACACAGAATGAGAGTCCCACCCTCGGTGGTGTAGATCAACAGGCAGCCCTGTTATTCCTCAGACTAAGAACTCTAACATTTCCTGCCAGCAGCTATTTTGAGAATATTAAGCCCGAATGTTTTGGTGGAAAGTCAATTCAAAAGGCCACAAGAGCAGGGGTGTGAGTGAATGAGCCCAAGCAACTCAACAACACTAAAATTTTGTAACATTTTCTTTTAAGCACAGAGAGTGCTTTGATATCGCACATGGGTACAAAGACTTTTGTCATGCAGACTGCTTGGAGTTAGTATGAAAGCATCTCCGTTGTGCTGGTGTTCACTTGCGGGAAGCAAAGCTTGTAGTAAAGCATGAGATAAAAATATTTGTAAGACTCATCACTTTTTGACATCTCCACTCCAACACCTCCTCCCCAATGCACTGTTTACAGACAGCTCCGTTGCGACTGCTACTTCTGATCTTCAGCCTAACCCAGCAAACACACTCGGAGCACGTGCTGATGCAGACTGCATGAGGAGGTGGAAGAGTGTACGATGACAGCCTGAAATCAATGGGGACGGCTTGTCTGTTTAAGGTGTGCAAGATCTGGCCTCCAGTGAACAGTCATTATCTCTCACACTGAGGCACAAAGGAGTTGAATGTGTCTGCAAAATTACATTATTCTACAACAGTGAGGAAATTGACATCCTGTGGTCACGATTATGCAGGCATTGGGCCATGCTGGATATGGCCACGTTTTTTCTTTTATTTTTAAAGAAGCAACTGGGCATTCAAATCATTCCATGCATTACAAAGTTTGATTTTCAGCAGAAGTGCATGTGCTGGATGAGGATCAGAATGTCTAATTACAAAAGTGCGTTTCTTTCAGAGAAGAGGAAGAATCACCTTTGACATTTTTTCTTAGTTTTCTACCTTCTGCCTCGAGATCTCGAGGCAAGGCAAACTTTGAACAAATTACTACTAAGTAGGAACATCTAATATTTATCCATAGTAAATGCTTTTCCTAGAAGAGTTGTTTGGAGCACATTTGCAATGTATTGCAAAAGAATTCACACTTTGAGAAGGAAATTCAGTCTTTCTAGGCTTACACAGGATAGATTCTGTCCTGGTAAGTATTTCCCCTGCAGCTGGAGCTAACCACAGTGTGGTCCAGGTGCTGTAAGCACGTGGACTGTCTCACCATCTGGAGACTGGGTAGATGATGTGGTTCAAACGGAATGTTTGTCCATGTTATGTAGAAATACACCGTGTAGGACCGTTAAAGAGAATGTAAAGAGCAGAACTGAGGCACGTAGGGTCTGCTACTAACAGAGTATACACAGTGTATACTTAGGATGCCACAGATTTCCCTAGCTCTGCACATATTTGTGCACATCCTACTGATCACACCTACCTGTTCAGTAGATAGCAGGGCTTGTTTAGGTACATCAGGGACTGATGCTTAGGTGGGCATATCATGGTTTGGTTCCATGCTTGGCAGAGGGTGGAGGTAAGGAAAGGAACTCTTCTAATTTCATATTAAAATCTTCTGGCTTCAGCAAAAGACTGTTTTTTAAAAATTGACAGCATCATGGTTTCTGCTGAGTGTGGAGATCTTTCAGTCAAGTAGCTGGAAAAAATAAGAGGAAGGCTCATGAGAACACCCAGGACCTGAAGCTGCTCTATGTAGTTTCTGTTTGCTGTCGAGCAGAGTGGAATGAGGGAAAAGTGTATGTGATAATTTGAATTTGAGACTTTTGATTTGATAGAGTTCAGCTGTCCTTCTGTTTCTGACTTTTGCATTCATTCAAGCTCTACAAGCACAAGGGCTCACCTGGTAAATTTTAATCAGAGATGCTCACGTACTGACAAAGAGTGAATTACGAATAGTTCATTTTCTTGTAAAACTTATCCTGCGTTCCTTTCTTACCTATCTCCCCTTACCAGGGAAAAAAAAAGGGAAGTAGATGGATAAGGCACATATTGCATATTATAATTTATAATGGACTGCTCTACAGATAGGAAGTTATTTACTGGCATTACTATTGAATATAAATAATGAACAAATTTCTTCAATCTGTTTATAGAGAATTCTCAGACAAAGGTGAAATTAATGAAAAAAAAAAAAAAATTGATTGCAAATGACCTGCTTGGCTCTAGTTCTTATTTCTGTGGCTTTGAGAGACCGTAGATAACTTTCAATTCCAGAATGGGAGGCTATGAACTTCCCCACATGACTTACATAATCAGAAGAACTTTAATTAAAAATGTTATTGAATATCCAGGCCCTTCATCATCTCCAGAGGAGTGACCTTAAAGTTGAAGGGAGCTGAAGCTGACTAGAAATACAGACCGTTCTCCTTTGTCCTTTCCTGCTGCTATATTTCCTGTGAAACAACAGAATGACAGCAAGGAGCTTAGTCCACACAGGGCCCAAAATTTGGGATGTTAAATAGGCAAAGTTTATATGTGTCTCTCGAACCTTGGCACAAAACAGGTGGGCTGAATGCAACACTGAAACCATAGAATCATAGAATTATCAAGGTTGGAAAAAACCTCTAAGACCTCTAGTCCAACTGTCCACCTACTACCTACCCCAATATTGCCCACTAAACCATGTCCTTAAGTATTACATCTACTCTCTCCTCTAACACCTCCAAGGAGGGTGACTCCACCACCTCCCTGGGCAGCCTATTCCAATGCCTCACCACTCTTTCTGAAAACAAGTTCTTCCTAATGTCCAACATACGTGTTATGTCTAACATAATGTATCTGTCATTGCCAGGCAGCCTAAAATGATCACCAACCAGGGTGCAGGGAGGAGGTTGCAATCTCATGTAAATGTTGATGTGCTTGTTTGTGTTAACAGGCTGCTGCTGGCATAACCTCTTTTGGGAAAAGTCTTTCGTTTAAAGGACATCTCTGCAAATCAAGAAATGAGAGTTTTGTTGTCAGCTGTGCCAGACACCAAAGAAAAAGTCATTTTGTCCAGACACTTGAAGACTTACTTGAAGGTAACAATTAACTGTCCTGCAAATTGTGGCTTAGAAGAAACATGAAAACAAAATCTGAGATAGTTAATGTGATTATTTTGTAGAGACTGTGATTTCTCTTGCCATGTTTTGTCAATTCCTTAGTTTTAGCTTTCCACCTTTGTGCCATCTGAGTACAAAATCATGTTTTCCAGAGCAGTCTGAATGTGGACAGCTGGTGCAGTCTTGATCCGTAGTGATGTCATGTAGGCAACCTGTTCTCTTGATTCAATCTAACCAGAAAAATGAAAGTCTGAGGCATCTCCTTGTTCAACCTGTGAACACCTTTGGTAATCACCCTACTTTTACTGATTATCCTTTTTGGAAAGGATACTTGGGAAAGGTGGAACTAGGAAGTACTAGTGCAAGTATATAGTGCACTATATTGTGGTGCAGGTTCTGGTGAGAATAAGAAAATAGCCCCATAACCTGCTCCTTGCTCTCTATGGCTGTCACAGCCTTTCCAATAAGACCAATGGATACTGCTGAGTGTGGCCCACTGTAACCCCTGCCAATACAGCTAGATGTTTGGTAGAATCCACAGAGAGGTGGATGAAGCATTTGTTCTCACTGAGTCATAATATGTAGTTGCCCAGGTCTAGCTCCTTGCCCTACTGAATCAAGCCAAGTGCTCTCCATCACCAACAAGTTTTGTTCCTGTCCAAAAAGGCCATTTATGAAGAGGAACTGCTTTTGATATTCAGAACTACTAGGCATGGAAATTTGCTCATAAGATACCAACCTAAGCAACACCAGAGGATTCAAAACACTTCTTTGTTATTGTTTCATGTTTCATGAAACTGGAAAATTGTAGTGCCATATATTGCAATATTTGTACTTGACATATTCTTGAGCATTTAAATATTGTCTTGTGGAGTGAGCTTATTGCCAACCACATGGATGAAGAGCTTTGCACTTACTTTTGGAGAGCACCCCATCATCAATTGCTTCTGCACACTTCTATTTGTACATCAGTCACATAAACAGTGAGTCTCATCATAGAGGTCTGAGTTCAGAGCAGTCTGCAGAAAAGCTGCTGTCATCTCTACAGGAGTTTGGTTAATATAAGTGGTGAAGGCAAGGAGCCACTCCTCCAGCTTCAGAAAGCTTGCAGGAGCAGCTCCTCCAAAGGAGTCAGCTTTGTTAACACCGTGAGTGTTCTCAGTAAATGAAACTGTGGAATGGAGGCAGGTGATGGAAGGCGTGAAGCAGGGATATTTCTTTTTGCAACCAAATAGAAAGGTTTACTCTTCTGAAGGGCAGAGTATAAAGGTCCAGAGAACCAGGAGGAAGTGCAGTGGTGGAGCTGGAGTCAACCATGAGTTAACCATAGCCTCTTGGGTGCGTAGTATAGCTGGTTCAGTGCCACTAGTCGTATAGCTGGTTTCTTGTTTGTTTTCTTCACTCTCACACCTCCATAGTGTATTGCATACACGATACCACTAAAAAGATGACATGGCAATATCAGAGCTTTTTTCCCCCTCATAGCAAGAATATATAATAATCTCTCTGAGAAACAAGTCTCAGGCTATCTCCAAGAGCAATCAATGCTTGTAAGGCATCCATCCAGTGAAGTCAGAATAGCTGGAGGCTGTGAGTAACGTAATCATTTTTTGTGCTTGCATAGTGTTTTATTTTCAGACCGATATGAATACAAGACAGGAAGTAAGCAGATTTTCTTTTTGTTTTGTTTTTTGGTTGGCTACTTCTCAAGTTGCTGGATTTTTTGTTTTGAAAACCAGGATGCACTGTCTTAATTACCACACTGGTAAGAGCAGCATTGGCCCATGAGAACATGAGGTCTCCAGTGGATGCTTCTGCTCTTCAGAGCATTGTAGGGAAGAAGCAGCCTTTGTGGTCATCTAAACTTTCACAAGATGCCTCTGTTTGCAGGTGGAAGTGAAGCCTAGAGTCCGAGAATGAGATGGTGTTACTATACTGTGTGTTACTATAACACAATCAGTTGGGATGAGGTCTCTGGTATACCAGATTCTGTGGAATTTGGAATAGTTAGTCATTAAAAATATCCCTTTTTATCTCCTTCTCTCCTGCATTCCCCGTGGCATTCTTACATGCTTCTTTACATGGATGCTCACCATCCAAATGTGAGGACAAAGACTTGGGATAGGAGAGCTGAGCCAGCTCCCAACCCTTCTGTCCGATTTGTACTTTTAAAAGGGACCTTCACTACTGACTTTTAGTCCATTTTGAATAGTGACTCTCTTTGCTGCTGAAATTCTTTCACTCAGATTATAAATACTTGTATATTCAAAGCAAAAGAATTTTGTAGCAAAAACTGGCACTCAGCACCCAGTCATTCTCGCCCAGTCTGAGCTGGTGTGCTGTCTTCCAGTCTCCCCTCTTTGTTGTTCTTCTGTCTCTTCCCCACAACCCGTTCATAAATCTTTGGAAAACAAACAAACAAAAACAAAATGACAACAGAAAAGGAAAAACAAAGAATCAAAGTCACCATCCCTGAAGGTGTTGAAGAAATGTTTAGATACTGTACTAAGGAACATGGTTTATGGTTTAGTGGGGAAATAGTGGTTGTAGGTGGACAGTTGGATTGGATGATTGTGGAGGTCTTTTCCAACCTTGGTGATTCTGTGATTCTAAGATTCTATGGAAGAAGCAAAAAGCTAGGCTTCTCCTTCCGTTCCACCTTGAGTGCTTTAGCTGATATTGGTTTCACTCTAACTCATGGTGTAACCCCACATTTTCCACCTACCTGAACGGAGCCTTATCTTGTTCCCAGCACCTCACACAAAGGTTATTCCATGCCCAGGCTTCTTCCCCAGGCTTTCCTTTGTATGTTTTTTGATCCTGCTCTAAGCTAGAAATCATACAGACAATGATGTGCCTGCTCTGGATGACCTGTCCATAGACAAACTGGTCTTGTTCCCCTTCACCTTTCCTTGTAGAGCAAAACAAAAGTCTTCCTTTTCAAACTTCTTTCCCTTGCCTTTGGGGTGCCTCAGCATGCTCTGTCCACATCTCAGGGAAAGGTCTGAGACTCTGGGCTTTGGAGAAGAAAGGGAGCAGGACCTGTGTCCTCCTTAGCATTGTGAGTAACTCCTGAGCCCAGATGAGAGCCTATTTCCCTTTTATTTTGCTCTGATTAAAGATGTGGAGGAGCAAGATGTTTTGGGCCAAACAAAATGTTTCTCCATCTCAAGACAGTTTATTTTTCTACTTGCTGAAGAAAAGAGGTAAAAAAGTGTTTTCAGGCAACTCAGACTGATTTTTTTCTTCTTTTCAGTTCTGGCCACCTAACTGAAAATATCAATTATTTCCATGGTCACAGGCACTCTGCCAAACTCCTGCTCCAGTATAACTTTATGGATTTGTTATCACTGCAGATTCAGCCTTGGCTGTTTGGCTTCTGTAAACAATGTTTTGCTCTTCTTTATGGTTCCTCAGGCTTCCTCTGAGAGGAGAGCTAATTGCACCACTCCCTGCACATCTGCACACCTGCTATCTGATGTTAAAAGCACTTGACTAAGCAATAACCCAGCAACAATTCCTTCTGTTGGAGCTACACCCATCTTCGCCTTTGTGCTTGTTCTTTCTAATGTTCATGGTGTAATTCAGCTATTGCCACTGTTTTCTGAACAGCTAAATCTCTTACGTTTCTTTCAGCTGACACAGGCTTTTCATGTTACTTAGCAACTCTGTGTTTAGCCTAATAAGTCATTAGGCTACTCCTACCATTAGAGCTGCCCTTTCTAAGAAAGGTCCAACTGGAGTGGTTTTTGTACTTCCTTGTGTGCAAAAAGAACGAAATAGCAGGGATTGATCATGACATATGTTGTAGTACATTCAGTTGTATCCACAGACTCTTTTCGGTTTTGCTGCTGGTAGGAAAACCATTACACACTTGCAAGGGAGCAGAACACAACAAAGACTTGGATGCCATCTTTAAATGCTTGAGCAAGAGAGGAAGCTTTCAAGATTCGAAGCATAGCCTCCCTTTTCTTGGGAGCTGAAGGTATTTTATGTATCTTCTCCAAAGTTTCTCCAAAGTGCTATGAAGGGAAGAGCCATCAGGGCAGGTCTCAGCTTTTGGAGGTACTCTATACTCCAGTGCTTGTGGATTTCTTGCTTATAGATTAATTAATGTACAATTCATTCCTCCCACAGCAGGGATGGCCTGATGTATCTAGATATTGCCTCTTGTTTTGGAATGTTTGTGCCATTTTTGATTGGTAAAACATCAAGTTGCCATAGGTTTTGCACATGAACCATTCATTATTCATGAACTGCAATCCTCAACTGCAACCAAGGATCAAGAGCATGGTGTCCCGATGAAAAAAATGTATATTCCCCAACCAGCAGATAATTTTTTGTGAAATTAATTGTGTTGTTTAGAAGTCAAGATGAAGTTTGACTGCAATGTCAGTAATATAGTTGGTGACACATCAACCATGCCACAGAATTCACTAAAAACACCATTTCTGCCACAGTAATTCACCATGAAATAATGCATGTTTTCCAGGATTTTTGTTCATGCTGTACTTTATTGCATAATGCAAGTTTCTTATTCATTAGATAATAGATACTTCAGATAATGAAAATTCATTCTGTGTAGCAGAAATATCAGGAAGAAGTGGCTTCTTGTAACTGTTCAAGGGCTCAAAAGTGGATACTTGTACGCTTTCATGTTTGATTCTTGTTCCACATCACTTCAGAAGCATAATTTTTGTTGACAGAAAATTGGCCAGGCTTAATAATGAAAGGTATTCATGTATCAGCTTCTGGGTTCTTTCTAATGTGTTGTCATTTTTGGAGCTAATGGACTTGCAGACTACATATGTTGGGACCAAATCTTCAAAGACTCCTAGCTGAGTAAAAAGATAATCCATTGGAAAGTTGTTTGTTTGTTTGTTTTATAATAGAAAAGATTAATCTGACTTACTTTCCAGAGCACCACTGTATGTTTTCTGGCAGAGCACCACTGTATATTATTTCAGGGACAGAAAGCA